AGTGCCCATCCCTGGAGGTGTCCCAGGAATTCCTGGGGGTGGCACTCAGTGCTGGGGACAAGGAGGGGATCAAGCTGGATTTGGTGATCCCAGAGGGCTTTTCCAGCCTCAGGGACCCTGGATTCTGTGGGGGTGCTCAGGGCTGCAATTGATAATTTCTTGTGTTGGTTTTGGGATCCCCACCAGGTGATTAAAGGGGGGATCCATCAAAGCTTGGGCTCCATCTTGGAGCTCTTTTCCCCCCCTCAGTGATTCTGCAGTGTCACAGAGCTGTTGTCAGGGTCTGACTGGGATGAATCCATGCAGTTTAACCCCTGTGTTGATCCCTTGCAGATTCCTCAGCCTCGGGGCCCATGGTGGTGGAGAACGGCGACCACGGGCTGCAGGACCATCACACAGGTACCAAGCCTCTGTCTGCACTCCTCTCTCCTCCCAGGGGCTGGCCTTGCATTCAGAGGGCTGCCAGGCAATGGGCAGCAAAACAGAGCTTCAATTTCTTTGGGGTTTAAGGGGTTTCTTTGGGTAAAACCTGGATCTGGAGATGTTCTCTGTCCGTGGGCAGTGCTGGGAGGGCAGCTGGTAGAAATGGCTTTGGAGAGTCCATAACAGCACAGCTGACCTGGCCCCTGTGCTGTGACTTCCCTGTGACCCTCTGTGGTGTTTTCCCACATCCCCACCCTTTGGAGCAGTTTTTATTCCCTGCCCTGACCCAGCTGTGTCCTGCCCCCATGGATGTGTCCCCACACCTGCTCCAGCAGTGGCACAGGGGTCACTGAGCCTTTGGGACATCTTCCATGGCATCAGCGCAGTTCTGACTGCCAGAAGCTTGTGATGGAACTGGATGAGTATTTCAGACTTGTGCAGAACCTGGAAAAGAAGTTTTCAAAGCCTTTCCAGTCAGGCTGAGGTGCTGAGCTTGCTCCTGTTTCAGTCCCAGTCAGTTGTGGGCTCTGCTTCCCCTCCCCCTGAGCCTGTGTGCCTGGGAATTGGTGAATTAAAACACCTCTTTGCTATAATTCCCTTTAGGATTTTAGAGTTTGGTTCAGTGTGAGTGAGTTTCCTGTCCTTAGTGAGGATGGGAATAGAAAAATTGATCTTTGTGCTTCGTTTGCCATTGGAAATCTGGTCAAAGGAAGTTGGGCATCTTCTGTAATTCAGTATAAACTGAAATTAAGAACACTTGTGAATCTTTCTAAGGATATTTCCTCCCTCTTCATTAATACTTCTAACTAAAGGAGATAGAAATGCAATCAGATTTATGGTCTGAATAATTAAAGACATCAGGATTTTTGTATTGAGCTTCTGGCTTGTGTTTAAAAAAATCCTTTGTTATTTGCCTCACTCTTGGAGGTTTAACTCTTCACACTAACTGTTAACAACTTTGATCAAAGATACTTTTATGTGTCTGGAGCTTTTTAATTTATTAATATGTTCCCTCTTTGTGGGGTAGAGTTGATTTTTTCCCTTCTCTTGTTCGAGTGTGTCTAAAAGTGACATCAAAGTGGCAGAGCAGGGTGTCAGGATGGGGAGCTGTGGCCATCAAGTTAATTAGGTTTGCCAGAGGAACAGGAGATATGCATGACACAATTCCTTCATGGCCTTTTTCCCTGCCCCCTTCCCTGTGGAATGCTTTCCATGTTCTGGTTCTGCATGGGAGAGAAGGGAGAAATGCTGAATTTCCACAGGGTGTGCAGGGTTCAGAGCTGCTGCTCTTGGCATGGCACACTGCAGAGGTGCTGCTGCCCCAAGCTGGATCCCTGGCTCTGAACCACCTCTGCTTCTGGGCTTGTTCTCAGCAGCATCCACTCCCTGTGTCTGAAAGCTGAAATGATTCCTAGGGATGTGAGCAGAGAAATGGAGCAGCCAGGAGGGGACTGAGGCAGGCGATGCTCAGGCAAAGCNGCAGGAATTGTAAAGGAATGAATGGAAGGAGATGACACTCCTTGTTCAGAGTCACACTCTGTCCCTCAGTGTTTTCACTCACATTTTCCTCTCAGTGTCAGCGTTTTACAGCTGTGATAAAAATGCACAGGCACTCCTGCACCCCAGAGCCTCCCAGAGCCCCCTGTGCCCTCAGGTGAGCTGGGGCAGGCTGCAGGTGCTGCAGGGCCGTGCTGGCCATGGCTGCTGCTGTCCCCTGTGCTCCCCTGGGATTAGGGGCTGCTGCTGGCATTGCCCATTTGCTCCAGATTATCTCTTTAGCCAGCGCTGCCTGAAATTTGTTTATATAAAAACAATCCTTTGATCCACGAGCCAGATGCAAATACTATCTTGTGATTCTGATGAGGATTAGGTAGTTACAACATCTTGACATGGTTTTGGGTTTATGCAATTTAGGATATGAGGGGAGGAGCCCTGGCCCTGGGCAGGTTGCTGGGTGCTTTCACACTGGGCCTTCAGCAAACCAAGCTCAGATTGATTTCTCCAAAGGCACTGACCTTCAGAGACTTTAAATAACAACCAGTCCTGCTGGCTGGATTGGTGGGGTTTGACCTGGTTTTAGTGGAAGCTTGTCTTCCCAAAAAGCTAAAACTGTACAGGGAACCATTTTACCTGCTCTGTGTCCTTCCCAAGGAGAGCTGTGGCACTTCTGGTCCTTCTGCTCCTCTGGGAACCCACTTTGGAGGGGTTAATGCATTAATAATCGTGGTGGCATCAGAGTCACTGAGGCTGGCAAAGCCCTCCCAGCCCACGGAGTCCCAGCTGTGCCCAGTGCCCACCTTGTCCCCAGCCCAGAGCACTCAGTGCCACCTCCAGGGTTCCTGGGACGCCCCCAGGGATGGGCACTCAAACCTGAGCCCCCTTTCCATGGGGAAATTCAATTCCTCCAGACTCTGGAGCATCCCAGCAGCTCAGTTGCCTGTGCAGGGTGCAAGGAGCAGCTCAGAGGAAGGAAAGCAGGGTGTGATCATGGAGGGAATTTGGGGCTGTCTGTGCAGGGCCAGGGGCTGGACTGGGATGGTCCCTGGGGGTTCCTTCCCTCTCAGGAGGTTCCATGATTCTGCAGGGCTTATGAAATGTGTGGCTCCTGCAGGAATTCCATGGAGTTCCTCAGGGATCTACTGCAGGATCCTCCTGTGCTTTGGGCAGCTGTGACTCTGTGTTTAAACCACACTGCCCCTGATTTCAGGGGATCCAGGCACTGCCAGGGCCTCCCCCAGTTTCTGTTTCAGGCCCATTTCTGTTTCTGCCTGGGGAGCAGCCCCAGGGGTCCCTGTGCTGTGCCCAGCCCCTCCAGGAGCACGGAGCTGTGTGGTTTGCTATAAACGGGCAAGGTCAGGGGGATTTTTGCAGAGCACCAGGATGAGCATGGATGGAGCTGGAAATGCTTTTCCTTGGCTTTGCTGAGGGCTGGATTCAGCCCTGCTGTGTTTGAAGGGCCCTGGGAACGTGGCTCTGTTCTGAAACTGGGGCTCAGGAGGGGCCAGCAGCAGCTCCAGGTGACTGAGTGTGTGTCTCTTTATTATTTATACAATGAGCATTTCCTCACTGTCAGCGGAGCTGAGGGCCCAGGGAGGAGCTGGTGCTGCTTGTTCTGCTTCCCTAAAACTGCTCAGGGTCATAAAGTCACAGAATCCAGACTGGTTTGGGGTGGAGGGACCTTAAACCCATCCAGTGCCAGCCCTGCCATGGCAGGGACACCTCCCACTGTCCCAGGNCACTGCATTGACCTGGGGCTGTGGAGAAGCTCCCAAAATGGAATTACAGAACTGGGATTGTGGGTGTGGAGTTGGAATAGAAGTCTGTAATATCCAGGGAAAAACAGATACCTGTTCCTTCCATGAAGTTTATTTAAGATTTGTAACAGTTTAAAAAGGCAGTAAAGTGAATGAGTTTCATTTCTTGAGGCTGCAGAATAAATAAATGAGCTCTGGGTGAGGTTTGCAGGGTCCTGAGGGGGTCTTGGTGCTGCAGTTCCGTGTTTGAGTGTGAGCCCAGGTTTTTGGGGCATAGCAGACAGAGTTCCATGGCCCTGGCTCCAGACAGCCTGGCTTTCCTGAGGGAGAGGAGCAGCCTGCAGAGCTCAGGCTCTGCAGCCTCCACTCGTTCATTTATTTATGTTAAAAGGCACAAATGTGTTCTGACATCACGGTCTGTGCTCTTCAGATTGTCTTTGCCCAGTCAGAAGAGGTTTAATCCTCCGTCCTGTCAGGCTTTAGCTGCTCCAGCTCTGCTCCAGGGTTTTCTTTCACTTTTTTTCCTAAACCCAGGAGCCAGATTGGGAGAGTTTAATGTTGAGCTGGGCCCCAGCCTGGGCTGGGTGAGTACAGAGAGGGGAGAAGAGCAGGGACCTGTGATGAGCACTAAAAATCTGTCCTAGAACAAAGCTTTAATAATGTTAACTCCTAAAACACCAGGGAGAAATGGGTTTGCTCTTCCTCACACCTGGCTGGATGTGGTAATTTGGCAAATTCTGGGATAATCCTTTTTGACCTTGTGGGCCTTACGTAACAGCAAGAGCTGTGTGCTGCCTGCTTTCCTTGGCAATTCCAGGGCTCTCGGGGTCCTCTGGAGCTCCAGGAAATCCTGGAGGCTGCAGCAGCACTTTCATTCAGGTGCTGATGTGGTGGGATGATGGGATTTCAGATGGGAGCACATTCCAGGGAAAGGAAAACACTGGGAGGGTTCATGATTTGCAGCAGAGCTCCTGGGCAGTTTCAGGTGATGTGAGGAGCAGGATTGTCTGTGCAATGATGGTTCCTGATGTGGAATTGTGTTTCTGGTGTGGAATTCTGTCCCTGGTCAGGAATTGTGTTTCTGGTGAGGAATTGTGTCCCTGGTGAGGAATTGTGTTCCTGGTCAGGAATTGTGTTTCTGGTGGGGAATTGTGTTCCTGGTGAGGAACTGTGTCCCTGGTGTGGAATTGTGTCCCTGGTGGGGAATTGTGTCCCTGGTGAGGAATTGTGTCCCTGCTGGGGAATTGTGTTTCTGGTGTGGAATTGTGTTCCTGGTCAGGAATTGTGTCCCTGGTGTGGAATTGTGTCCCTGGTGTGGAATTGTGTTTCTGATGTGGAATTGTGTCCCTGGTGTGGAATTGTGTCCCTGGTCAGGAATTGTGTCCCTGGTGAGGAATTGTGTTTCTGGTGTGGAATTGTGTTCCTGGTCAGGAATTGTGTCCCTGGTGTGGAATTGTGTCCCTGGTGTGGAATTGTGTTTCTGGTGTGGAATTGTGTTCCTGGTCAGGAATTGTGTTCCTGGTGGGGAATTGTGTTCCTGGTGAGGAATTGTGTCCCTGGTGTGGAATTGTGTCCCTGGTGGGGAATTGTGTCCCTGGTGAGGAATTGTGTTCCTGGTCAGGAATTGTGTCCCTGGTGAGGAATTGTGTCCCTGGTGGGGAATTGTGTCCCTGGTGAGGAATTGTGTTCCTGGTCAGGAATTGTGTCCCTGGTGAGGAATTG